AATAAAGCACCTTCTAAAATTTGCTGAAATTATTGATGGTAAATGGGTATACCGTTTTGCTAACCACCCCAGATTTTCTTATTGGGCATTTAATATGATTCAAAGAAAACGAATTTTACAACAAAGTGGAATATTCCTCAAACAGAACCCAGGTGAAGCTCATCTCACAATTGATGAACTGCGTGAAATGGCTGCCAGTAACAATGCTAATGTATTTATGTCTAAAGTGTCAAGATATGTCGGCAATATTGCAGGTACTAATGCTTACTGGAATAGAGTAAGGGAGGAACTCAAATCTATCATAACTAATGTTGGAGCACCAACATTATTTTTCACTTTCTCCTCTGCAGATATGCATTGGCCTGAGTTACATGCTTTATTTAAAGCTGATACTGACAGTGAGTTAGGTAACTCTACCAGTGATGTAAGACGACAAAATGTGATCAACAATCCCCATGTTGTAGATTGGTTTTTCACACAAAGATTAGAAAGCTTTGTAAAACACTGGCTTTATGATACTCTTGGTGCAAAATGGCACTGGTTTCGATATGAATATCAAGGTAGAGGTACTATCCATTGTCATGGTACTGCTAAACTAAATAATGACCAGGCTTGTGCCAACTTACTCAGACTGCTTTGAAAGGTTTCTTAGCTCAAAAATTTAAAGATGAAAATGATTGTTCTGATACAACTGAACTAGACCAGGATATTGAAGCTGGTCAAAAGCAGCTGACACAGTATGTCAGTATGTTGATTGGTTATTATCAACCGTCAATCCTAATCCACCAGATGAGGACATGTGGATAAGACCTGAGGTTCATCCATGTCAAAGAAGTCATGACATTCCTGAGCATGAAAAACAATCAGATTATGTAGATCTGTTAAACATGGTTCAACGACACACTCGTTGTAGCACAAGTTATTGTCTTAGAAAGAAATCAAATGAAACAGAGTTGAAATGTAGATTTCATTTCCCTTTTGATATTTGTCCTAAGACAAAATTAGAATTTGAAAAAATTCATACTTCAGGTGATAATGAGCATTATCGAGCTAAGATTGTGACTAAACGAAATGACTCTAGGTTAAATAACCACCAGCAACTTCAGCTCCAAGGATGGAGAGCTAACTGTGATATTCAAGTTGTTATTGATCACTATGCTTGTGTTGAATATCTCACAAAATATGCAGCTAAAGGTGAACCAAGATCACCAATATTGAAACAGGCATTCAATTCTATTGTGCAAAATGTTGACAGTAATACTGACCCTCATAGAGTTATTAAGAAGATAGTTATGAAATCTCTTGGTGAAAGAGATTATGCAGCTCAAGAGACCATGCATCATTTGTTGTCTTTAAAGCTCCACAGCTCATCCTTTAAAGTGATGCCAGTTAGTCTAAATGGTTCACGTAGAGTGCGTGATGCTGCAAGTATTGACGAGGGTGAATCGTGCACCGATTACTCACTTCTTGATGTGTATGCTAATCGTGAACAATATGACAGTTCACAAAATATAATAAATATGAACTTTGTTCAATTTGCTACAACATACAAAGTTGTTAACAATGAACTGACAAAATTGCCAGAGAATATTATACCACGAATATTTCCAACATATTCTCCTAATCCCAAAGGTCCAAATTTTGGCCTATATTGTAAGTATCAACTGTTGAGGTATAAACCGTGGAGAACAACCCAAAATAATGCATGGAGTGACCAAGAACCAACTGACGAGGTTCTGATCAATTGTTGGCATGAATTTTTACAAACACCTTATGGGCAATCTAATGTCCCAGACTGGTTTGATAAATTACAAGCTGTCATTCAAACTCAAGAATTAGAAGATGAACCTTCTGAAGAACAGGAGGCAACTCGAGAAGAGTGGATGATATTATCAGACCTCAACACTCCTTTTGACAACTCTGAACAAACACCAGAGTCCACATATGATTGGCATCTTGACAGAGCCAATTATTCAGAACAACAAATCCAAGAAATGCCAACATGGATAAAAACAAACAAAGAAGAATACACTATTGATGAGCAATATGATGTTGTTGACATCAACAGTTTTAGTGAAATGCAAAAACTTGCTTATGATATTGTTAAGTCTCATTTTGATGATACAGATACATCATCCGAGAAAGAGCCATTATGTCTCATTATAAATGGTGTTGCGGGAACTGGTAAAAGTTACCTTATTAATGCCATTAGAAATCTTTTGCAAAGTAAATGTGCTGTTGCTGCTACCACGGGTAAAGCAGCTTATAACATTAGAGGTGTAACTGTGCATTCTCTATTAAAGTTACCTATAGAATCAAGAGGTAAAAAAGACCTAACAGGACAAAGCTTATGTAGGTTACAAGAGAGTGTTAATAACATTGGATACATCATTATTGACGAATACTCCATGCTTGGCCAAGTTACTTTTGGTTGGATAGACAAGCGTTGCAAGCAAGCAACTGGTTATAATGACAAAGTTTTTGGAGGAAAATCATTGATTTTAACTGGCGATCCAGGTCAATTACCACCAGTAGCAGATAAACCTCTTTACCATGCTAAACCATCAAACGCTGTTGGTGAACAAGGTTATCAAGCATATCACATGTTTGACAAAGTTGTTAAACTCACTGTAAGTCAACGTGTGCAAAGTATGACATCTGAGCAAATACAGTTCAGAGATTTGTTATTACGACTTCACAAAGGTGACTCAACAGTTGATGACTGGAAGTTACTTCTTACACGTCAACCATCAAATGTCACTAATTTATGTGACTTTGAAGATTCTACTAGACTCTTTTATAGTAATGAACAAGTTGCTAATTACAATCATGAGCAGCTAACAAAACTTGAGCATCCAGTTGCTCATATTAATGCTCACCATTCATCAGCATTGGCAAAAAAGATATCCTCAGATGATATGTCTGGGTTAGAGCCTGTTGTGTTTCTAGCAAAAGGTGCTAGGGTTATGTTAACCATGAATTTGTGGTCAAGTGTTGGCCTCTGCAATGGGGCTACTGGAACAGTTGTTGACATTATCTATCAGAACAACCATCAACCACCTAACTTACCTATTGCAGTAATAGTAGAATTTGAAATCTATAGAGGACCTGTTTTTAATGGAAACCAACCATTGTGTATCCCAATATATCCAATCACTGTCACATCACAGACAGAAATAGGTTTCCATGAGAGGCAACAGTTACCTCTTAGTCTTGTTTGGGCTCTAACAATACACAAGAGCCAAGGACTTACACTTCCAAAAGCATGGATAGATATTGGCAAATCTGAAAGAACTGCTGGAGTTTCTTATGTTGCTATTAGCAGAGTAAAATCACTTGCGTCTTGTATCATTGAACCAGTGACGTATGAACGATTAACAAGCTTGAAATCATCCGCTAACTTACAATATAGGCTTGAAGAAGAAAACAGGCTAAATCAGTTTGCACAGGCTACTAGCAGTGCCTTTAGAACAACAAACTATTGAGTTTGAATAAGAGAGGGAATTTCATATATGGATCCCAGTTATATTTTGGTATGTAGTTTGACTATATACCCTTTTAATTTAATTTGTTATATAATAACTAATTTACTCCTTGTTATCACTGTATGTATGAAAATATGATTTGCAAGTTAAAGAATGGCAAGTTTTTTGTTTGTTTACCCCCTCCCCTCCCCTTCCCTCCCCTGCCCTACTTTTATTTTCATTCATTTATGTGCTACCGCGTTTCTAAGTAAATATCTCATGCTGACAATTATTTTTTCTATAGTTTTGCAATTCTAATGGATGTGAATGGTGCCATGTTAACTGCTGGGTGAGACCAATTGGTTGTTAAAGTCAAAATATAATATTGATATATTACATTGCATCAAAATGGATGGGAGCTTCTAGATTAACAGAAATGTATTTCTATTAAAACAAGAATGCTGATTTACAAGATTGTATGGATATATTACATCTAATGCAATGGGATGGAATATGCCATGTATAATTTTTGCCGTACTTGTTTCCAATCTACCATATGGATGTCAGGAACATTGTATGTCAAGATATTACATACCTTTATATGTACAGTAACCTAACAAGTTATTGGACAATGATGATGGCCAACAATGGATACTATCTGTACATGCTAAATAAATACGAAACATTTATATATTGGACAAAAAACAGTAATAAACTTGTTTACTGGATGGAAAATATAATGGACAGAAGACTATCATTACCTTGGAAAGAATACGAAAACTTGCAAAAACTAGTCATATCACGTTAAAAGACATATTGTGTATACTACAAATTGTGTTCTTCCAAACGCTCTGATAAGTGAAGATGATTTAAAACATTGGTACCAACAATGACATGCATACATGTAAATATGAAAATCCGAAGTTACAAAGTACACTTTACAGTATATATACTATAGTAATTATTGCATGTTGTAATTTCGATATCTTTTAAACAAAATAAATTCATACATACAGTGTGTATAAGACAATTTAATTAAATGAAGTTTATTGGTATAATCAATCCCCAGGGCTTTGGTCATAAGGCAGCACTTCCTTGCGATAGTAACTTCTAGTAAGTATATTAACTTACTACAAATTTCTTTGTAAATAACCATTTGTTATATTTGAAATTATTGTTTTCCAAATTTCGCCCCGGAGGTAGGGGCATTTGTGACAAAACTTTGCCCCAACCCACGGGCATTAGTGTCCTTTTGTCAAGGCTGTTTTGACAAATCCCCGGGGTGGCCCGGGGGTCGACCCCCCGGGAAAGCCGCTGATACATGCATTACCTTTTACATACCATATATAAAACGGAATTTTCATCCTTTCTAGAAACTCGCTTCCTGAACTTTTGAGCGCAAATGTACTGTATTAAAAATGTATATCATATTCACAGCGGTTAATACCATTAATATAGCGCGGGCGCAATACAAAACAAAACACGAGAATTTTAAAATGTTTTGATTTGCAAATAAATAAATAATATTTGATGTCATAAAAATGTTTAAGTTTAACTCAACACAAACTGGTAAGTTCATGACTTGTATAATTTACTTATATGTTGTTATATTGCAATTCTGTACCCTACTCCTTTGAAATAAAAAAAAAAAAAAAATTGTTTGCAATTGCGTATGATGTGAACAGTGGTCATGTATTATAGTTGTGTCATGAATTTAATAATGCCCCCAATGGCTTCGAAATAGACAATGGATGGAAAAAGTCATGAATATTGAGCTTATTTACCCTTTAAACACTAGCTTGATCGTCATGCGCATACAGTGTATTGTTTGTTTCCAGAACCCCCTCAAGCAGACTTCAACTTTTTTTGTTAAATTGTATATAATATTTTGCTTCATACACTGTATGTGTGTGTGTGTATGTGGGAACACTCATGTTTGGATGCTTGGCATAGGTTAATGGGTAATTTCATTGGAGTCATCAGGGATATAGTTTGTATATTCCTGAAATTACCTCTAAACACCTAAAACAGCATTCCCTAAAATTTTAATTGTTTTCTTACATTGCTCTATATCGCTCAAACTCGCATTGCTTAAATTGCAGATTTTGCTTAAATCACCTAAAATTGAACTCGCATTATCTCGTTATCGCCCCAGAGTAGGGCCTACTGTTGCCATTGCTTTTTAGTCCCCAATACTTCAGTGAGTCATGCTTTGGAAATGACAATAATTTTTTATTACCCAACCCTTGAGTTGTTTTGTTTTTCATTTACCCAACCTTTTCCTTACTCAAAATTTAGTTTACCAACCTTTTTCTCTTCGGTGCCACCCCCCGCCATAAATAATGACCGGTCCCTTAGTAAATCTTCCACAGCACTCAGCTTACAATTTTGCAGTGAGCCAACAACATTCGTTGACAAATGGGAGTTTTCTCGGATATCAGTGAGAATTCTATTGGATTTTTCATTTTTTTTTCATCATCGTGATCATGAATAGAGGGTCCTGAAGGGGGGGTCCCAATCCCATTTCCCACCCGAAATTTTGGCAAAATCCCAGTCCCAGTTGGATTTTTATTACAAATCCCAGTCCCAGTTATTGAAATCCCAGTCAATAAAAACCCCTTTATTTATCGGTAGAATAAACAGTTTTAAGACCTTTTAAGCAAGTGGCGGACACTTTATGAAATATCAGGGGGGGGGGGGCTCGTGCCAAAGGCACGGAAAATTTTTAGATTTGAATCCCGGAAATGGCATTTGCAGCATTCTGAGACACGCATAATCATAAAACCCAGAATTCCGGGCGCCAGAGTATGCCTGTTCGCAGGTAGTGCTGTGAATAATATTATAGTTAACAACAAAAATCGTGACCAAAGACACCAAAAACGGATCAAAATTGTATTTTAAAATACTCAAAACGCAGAAAAATTGGGAATCGACTCACATTACCTCAATCCCATTCCCATTTTTGAGGACTTCATTTCCCATTCCCAGTGGCCAAATCCCAGTCCCAGCAACCCAAATCCCATTTTCCCAGTCTAAAAATAGATCAATCCCAGTTCCCATTTTACCCCTTCAGGACCCTCTGAATAAAACGCATAAACCTTAGCATGTAGATTGATAGGTGCCACTTTATATAACGCTACACGAAGTAGTCGCGTGCAAAAGCTGTACTCGGGGCATGCTGGCTCATGGAGCTTGGGTATGATGATCAAAAGCAACTCTTGGACACAGATGAGGTAGATACAGATGTGAATCTCACGGCAAATTATGTCACACCGATTAAATAAACTTTAAAATTGTATTAATTCACTATTTTATTAAATTTTGATAATGCAGAGAAATAAAACTATACATATTATAGAAGTATTCATGTTTTTTTTTATGCCAGAGTTATGTTTTGAGGAATTTATATCATTCGCTGTTTTGTTATTATACATGAGCATCTGAAATTCCCAGCAAGTGTATTTCACGATTTTAATAAGGAATAGATAGGGAAAAAACAAACTTTTGCTAAATAAAATGTTATGTTAACACTTTTAATAAAAAGAAATCAATAAAAGTGATCGCTTACCGATACTCTTGAAGAATTAATTCCAAAAATAGCCGTCGGTAGCGTAGATTTTAAAAAAAAACAATTTTTCGTCTTTCGAACGGCGTTTTCCTATCTCTTTCCTTATTAAATTTCAGAACGACACTTGCCAGTTGCCAGCGCTCGCCGGAAGTGAGAATTCCGTGTGACACAAAACAATCAGCAATTTGACGGAAGATTCACATCTGTATCTACCTCATCTGTGTCTTGGACATGCAGCCAGAGGAAATTATTGATGTTTTGAAAGAAGTTGTGCTGTATGACAAGTCAGGTCATCAGTGCCATCGAAAACGATAATTTGTATCTGGCACAATCTGCAATAGAAATTTTGAGTTCGAAGACCAAACATGGAGTACAGGATAAAGTCAAGACACGACAAGCCAGTGTACTACACCAATGTCGAGTGTTTCCCACAAATATGTTACAACTTGTAAGTATATATATTTTAACATGTTTTTTTGCCAGCTGGCGGATATTAAAAACAAAGATAATTTTGGAAAAACCGTAGGGCCAGCACCAGCCAAAGATTTGTGGATTCCAAATCCTGGAAAGCCAATGAACTCAAATTTTACGACAACACATTGGATGGACAACAGTCGCACAACAATCATTACTAATTGTAAATTTGTAATTTATTAACTGCAGGAACATTTCCTCCAAAAGTGATGCAGAGAAATAATGCAAGAGAAAACGCAAGAGCGTGTGATGTCACAAAGATTATTACAAGTGGCAGAATCAAGTACGAGTCTCTGGAGAATGGTGCTGAAAAAATCTCTCAAGTAGATGTGTGTGCTTGAGCCTATTAAATTAAACAACTTAAACCAAGGAACCATATGACAGCATTAAAAACAACAGTTGTGGGAAAAAACAATGTACACTTGATTTTTTTGTTTAAAAAATTGGAAACATCATCTTCCCAGTCTGACTCTATGTCATCAGAATCTGATTCTGAGGAAGGGTGATGTGGATATTCAAAAATCAATGCCTGTAGATGTGACTTACAAAATATTAATTATATTAATAATAACAGGATTGTTTTTATTTCATTTTGAATTCACTTTAAATCTATTATTTTGTTGTATTGAATGTTGATTATTTTAATAGGAATGTTGTGTAGTAGTTGTAGTATGTATTGAATGCAAACAGGCTATATGTGTTTCATGGCCCATCCATTTGCACAAAAACAAATTGATGGCCCACCCAAACTGATGAAAATAATTTCATGGCCCATCCTTATTTCCTCCGGCCCACCCTAGCAGTTACTTTATGACAGGTGTCCCAGGATTTTCGCCCCCCCTACACTTTCGCCCCCCGGGGGGCGAAATTCCTAGGAATATCGCCCCCCCCAGGGGGGCGAAAATCCTAGGAATTTCGCCCCCCTTTAGGAAATTCGCCCCCCTTTACAAACTTCACCTTTTCTTTAGGATTTTCGTCCTCCGTTCAATATTTCGCCCTTCCTAACAGTTGCATGGGATAATTATTACATGGCTTTAATCATTTGAAATCAATATCAATTCAAAATTGTTAAGACAGAGCTTGAAATAACAACCGATCACCGATCGGCAAGGAATTGCTTTAATATGATCGGCGGAAAAGCAAGGTTTCGGTTTCCAACCTGAAAAAAGCAGGGAAAGTCATGACTGCCGATCACCATGATCGTTAACTTTGGGAACGTTTATTATTTCAAGCCCTGCATGTAAGAATACAAATTTACAATTACATGTATCGAAAGGGCTTACACAGTTACAGTAGATCAATAGGACTTATGACGCTTCACAGCACACCATGCATATTTTGCATTTCAGTGTTAATCCTTAAACTCATTGTTAAAAAGTAATCACCGTGGTGGTTATTGTAATTATTGGTATTGTTTTGCATCCACGTTTTGTCGTTATTGGAAAATGTGTGGCTTATAAGTTGTCACTATTTTTTACTTGCATTATTTCAATATAGTTTGTAAATCTCAGAAGCGAAGGGTAAAACTTGCCAATAGGCAATACTCCAATAATATACGTTTAAAAAAAGACGAATAAGCTTTTAGTTTTGCAGAGTTACATTCTCAAATGTTTAAGGCACTAATAAAGTCAAAGTATCATGAAATTATTTGAATAAACCACACCACATATATAATGCAATTTTCTTTGCGGAAGTCAAGAATCAAGATTACATCACTATTAAATTAAACACTGACATGGAAAGACTGGAAAGTTGATGATTCAACGGACAATAGTCAATACGCTTCCCAACACATTCCATAGATTTTTTATTAATCCTATAGTTTATTGTTAGCAAGTGATTAGTCACTGATTACTGTGGCGGCTATTGTTAACACTGATATTGATAAAATTTGCAAGCGATTGTTTTTATAATATGTTATGTGAATGTAAACTGTCAGAAGAATACGACAACATGATTTTATCATAGGATTTTATGCGATCTCTGTGGGCAATGGTTCCACTTTAGATGTGTAGAATATGACACTAGTCTAAGTACCTCAAATGAGTGGTTATGCAGACTGCAGTGTGCACACTACCAGCTGCTAAGAAGCCTAAAATGTGTATGTAATTTTGTCTCTTTGTAATAAATAAATAAAT